TGCTAGGAAACTTTTTAATTCGYTGGCTACTGTAGGTCGTTTAACATTTAAAATAGCCTCAACTTTTTCTGGTAGCGGGCGAATACCTTTATGCGTAATGATGTGACCTAAGAATTTTATTTCTTTTTTACCAAATTCACATTTCGACGRATTAATTGTTAGACCAGTTGCGCGGAGTCGTTGGAATATCAAGCGTATATGTTTCACATGTTCCTCCATGTTTGCTGAAGCTATGCATATGTCGTCAACATAAGGAAAGGCGAAGTCAAGTCCTCGTAAGGCTTCATGCATGAGGCGTTGAAAAGTTTGTGCTGCATTTCGTAGACCAAACGTCATATGAGTAAACTCATATRGACCGAATGGTGTTATTATGGCTGTTTTCTTTATGTCTTYCGGTCGAACAGGTATTTGATGGAATGCTCTTTGTAGATCGATCTTGCCAAAAACTGTTTTWYCTCGTAGGATTGTTAAGCAGTCGTGAATAAACGGAATAGGATAACGGTCTGGAACGGTGATTTTRTTGAGCGCACGGTAATCTCCACATGGTCGCCAATTGCCGTCTGCTTTGCGGACCATGTGAAGGGGACTAGCCCAATTGCTCTGCGAACGACGACTCACGCCTATTTGCATCAGATATTCGAATTCAATACGTGCGGCTTCAAGTTTTTTGTGGTCGAGCTTTCGAGCACGAGCTGTAACGGGTTGACCTTGAGTTTCAATTACGTGGCATACCTCAGTCTTTACTGGTTTTCGATCAAGATTCATTTCTGTGAGGTCTTTAAATTCCTTGAGTACCTTTGCGAATGGACATTGTACGTCGAAAGCTTTTATCTGCATATTCAACTCTTTGTGAATAGTGCATKGCGCTTCGAGATTTGTCTTGTTGTCAATTAATTTGTTGCGTTTTAGATCAATGATCAAGTCGTAGTGACGAATAAAATCACTGCCAGTAATTGATGTATTAACATCTGCAGCCATGAAGTTCCGCATGAATTTACGACGAAGACCAAGATCCACGTGTTGGCGTACTAAACCGTAAGTTTTTATTGGAGTACCGTTGGCTGCGTATAACGTGATGTTTGTTGGGCGAAGATAATTAAAATTGTTTTTGTTTGGAAGAACACTATAGTCGGCACCAGTGTCTATGAGATATTTTACGTTTGATGACTGGTCCTTGATGAAAAGTTGATTTACTGCTTCGTTGGGGTGATTGGCGTCAGCATCGCTGACTGAAACTTCTAGTCATTCATGCTGGGTGTTGGTACTTTGTCGAAGTAGACATGGACTACGGCATCGGTTGGCAGAGTCTCCGAAAGTTTGATGGTACCAACATTCTGTCGTATTGCGTGAGAAAGATCTTCGCTCACTCGATTGACTATGTCGGCGAGGAAATCTGCGACTAGTACGTGAGCGACTGCGTTCTCGTGTGCGCATATTATCAAATTTGCGTTGTAATTCGTGAATTGTATT